TATTGCATTCTGATACAGATCAACAATCATAGGCATAACAAACACCCTTGCGGCCCCTGGCTAAGGCCTCTTTGGGCCGTACTGCCCGGGGAATGGGTTTAGAGCCCGGGGTCCGGGGGAAAGCCCTGCTCGCTTCAGTGTGTCAGATGTTTTAAGGTGTATTTTGTTCCTGTTTAGCCGAAGTTGGGAAAAGTGATCCCGGGACTCACTATGGTTTGGGCCCACTATGGTTTGGGCCCCTGGTTCTAGCCAGTGAGAGCTCATTATAGCTGCTACGTCACTCTCAACAATGTATGAGCAAATACATGATAGCAGGCTAGCAAAACTAGGCCTCTTTGTCAGCTACACAGATAGGAGTTTTCAACCCATACATGTGGGCCTTTGCTAGTGTTAATTTTTTTAAACCCTTCACTGAGACTAAGCAAGTTCTGTGGCTGGCCATTTCTGAATGTTGTGAGAAATTAAAAACTTGTCTGAGACAAATCCCACAAGCTCTGAACATGATAATCATTTGGTAAAACCCTTTTCCAGTTCTAAAACTTCACATTCACTTGTGACGTGCTGGTCACGGGAGATCACAATTTTTGGCATGACTTCGATTTAAGCCATCAAGATATAGAATAACACTTTAGTAATTTGATTCACGATTAGTGGATAAAATACATTATTGTAGATACAGAGTATGTAAATTTAATCTATGTCATGTAGTTTATGGGTAGGGTTAATGTAAATGTAAATGCAAGTCTAATCCACAATAATTTCATACCGTTAGGTCAAAGGTGAAGAACTGAGACAAACTAAATCTGAAACGAGAAGTAAGACCATATGGGATATATGATACACACAATAACCTTTTGATTATGTGCATTACAAATTGGAAATGGTAAAAAAAATCAGATTTTCTTCATAAACTAAAAATAATGGTAACATTAAACCGACTGCTTTGACGAAAGTGTTTTAAAAGCATCACATGGAAATTGCAGAAGGGGATGCCACCTATTTATTTAACCTAATGTGCTTGAGAGTAAAATACAGAACGAGTTCTGTCAATATTGACATGGATAGAAATGTTGCGGGGCATGCAACATTTGAGAGCATTGCGACTATGATAAGGCCCTGTTTAGACTATATCAAATTTTATTTGATAAAAACATGTGACATACCTAAATATGGTCATAATGATATCACATCATGACCATATATATTGCTGTGTTTCTGTATACAGTATTTGTTTTAAATATTTTCTTTATAAAAGCACCGTCAATTGCTTTGTGTAACGTTTGCCACCAATGGAAAGGTGTAGTTTTTTAAAATAAAGTATTATTATTATTATAGACACTTTCTGACTATATATGTGCATACAAGCTTTTTGCCAAATAAAAGTCACATAGAATCACCTGCAAATGCAAAGGCTTTGAGTTGTTCTGTTAACTTTAAATAACCCAAATATTTACTTCGCTTTTTCCTGTTTTCTATTTGTTTTATTAGTACATCACACTTTGCATTGGTTAGTGTTAAGAAATTTTCGTTAGAAAAGATTCAAAAAGATTGTGTGTTGCGTATGTTTGAGTGTGTTGCTGTAAGTAGGTGTTTTTTTCCCTTTTTTTTAGCTTGTAACATTGTGTTTTTTTTTCATTAATTATTATCCCAATGTACACCTGCTAACTCTCACGAATAGTGCGTGAATCTCACGCATTAGCATTCACTTTTTACATCTACATTGTATTATCTCACGCATCATAAAGATGTTTACTGTATAAAGTAAAAGATAAAATGTATAGGCCAATTATACCCTAAAATTAATTAAAAGGAAGAGAATTGGTCATTATAATGTAAATACAGGCCATATCAATCTTTTTTAACAAACTATACTGACAACTGTAGCAGTTGGACTACAATTAAAAAAATAAAATAGAGGGCGCTCTATTTCATGATTTTACATAGAGAGCGCTATATACTTTTTTTCACGCATCAGACACCAACGAAGTTCAGAAAAATCATTGTTCAATAATGCAAATATATTTAGCTTCAACTTTATTTGCTATTTATACTGGTTTTTTTTTTTTTATATTTTAATGTAAATATTTTTTTTTGTGCGACTTCTTAAAATTCATATTTCATTTTATCTAATCTCCGGAACCATTGTGATTCTTTATTGCTGTCTGTGCTTTTTATATATATGTTTTCATTGTTTGGCTGATTCTGTTCAAATTCATTTTCATTTCATAAAAATCGCACTAAATTTTATTGCGTTCTTATTTGTAATACTAGCAATAGTAGATGGAGAATAATATTCAGAAGTGTGTAATGCCTCAACTCTACACATGGTGATGATAAGATTTTAATCAATAATGATATGGGATTCACATTTATACAATAAAAAATAAAGAAACCATTCACTTACCCGTATGTTACACATGGAGGCCTAATGAATAATATTCTCATAAGTGACATGGTTATTTTTTGCAATGGTGATTATTGACCTAGTTAAGCAGTAAGTTCATAACTATAGCTATAGAAACCCCTACACAAGTAAAGCAATATATCATAAGAAACATTTTCTTCATTTATTCTTATTGAAAAGACAAAATATACCTTTCTGAATGATATTTATTATTGTTATTATTTTATAATACAGGTATATGTTTATTATTACTTGGTCTGTGCAGGTGTAGCCTATTACAATAGCTCTTTGCCATTTGCCATACAGGTGTTCAAGAGACGAATGAAAGATTTACAACATCTTAAATATATACTGCCAGTGCTATATTCTGTGTTGTTTTTCTCTGCGCTTTTTTTTTTTTTTTGGGCCAAAAACTTGTGCATTGCTTTAGGTTTCTTTATATTTTGTATTTTATGTAGACCACCTATGAATAATACTGATTGATTGATTGATTAGTTAGTTACCAAAGCCATAATTTTGAACTTTAACCACTTTGGTTTTAGACTATTGGTAAACAGGATTACATTTTATTTATTATTACTTTATTGCATAGTTATTTTCTGAATTCTACATAAGTTTTGCCAGTAATGTTATTTTTTCTGTTGAAGGCAAGTAATGTTTCTGATGTTTTTTCTATCTGATTTGTCAGAATTAGACAATCAGTTGTTGGTACTGCTCATTTTGACTAAAATTATATTTTTTTTAACCTCGTACAATATTTATAATGCTTAAAAAGGAAGGAGAGTGGGCATGTCAAACTAACAAAGGCAGCAAATAAAATTTACAAACTAGTATTGTATAAGAAACAACAAAATCTGCCTGGAATATAAAATTCAGGTGAATGTAGATTTATACTAAATCATGTGACAATTCAGCAACGTCAGCACGCTAAAGCCTAGAGTAATTTTGAAATGTACTATGCTATATTTAGATTAAAAGGCAAAAAACTGATGAACAACAATGCTGTAGGAAAATATAGTAATATTCATCACCATTACATTCTTTTTTCATATTACTACTGGTGATTAAAACCCTCATATCTAACTTACTTGGTGAGGATCTAATTCAGTAAAAGCAATTAACTTCCGCTGATTTCATCTAAAGTTCTTTTAAACTACTGCACGTCTCAACGTAATCACAACAACACTCTCGCATCCTTCCTGAGATATATATTGCCTGAGTATTTCCACTCACAATATAAGAACATCTGAGAGATAACACCGAGATTAGGGATGGCAAAACATGAACAATTTGAAATTAAATGGAAAAAAAAATATTTAGATGAAAAGTTAGAACAACAAAGACTGATTAAATTGTCAAGGCCAATTGTGCATGTGATAGACACATAATTCAGGTTAGCTCTAGAAGTCAATGGAGTGCATTGCCACAGCCAATCTGAGAAACGGCCATTTCAGGATGATTATATATTTAATAGGATGAATGCAGATTCCCAAAAATGATAATGTAGGACTGGGAATATAAAAAATAATGCTTAGTACAGTGAATCTTTGTGAGTCGGCCAATGTTGCTAATGATCACAAATGAATCAATGCATTTAGTTAATGAGTTGCCACTGAATACAAGGTTAGAAAATTTCAGATGCTAAGATGTGATACAAGTACAGTTATTCTTTGAGAGTCAGCCAACGTTGCTAATGATCACAAATTAATCAATGGACTTAGTAAATAAACTGCCAACTGAATACAAGGTTTGGAAAGTTCAGGATATTTAGATTTCAATAGGAGTAATGTGGATTAATGATAATATAGGACTGGTACTCTATAAACATAGATGCTAAGATGTGATACAAGTACAGTGATTCTTTGTGAGTCAGCAAATGTTGCTAATGATCACAAATGAATCAATGCATTTAGTTAATAAACTGCCACTGATGAAGTGTTTCATCAATCATTGTCATCATCATCTTACTTTGTTGTAGATTAATCATGACGTGTAGCTTCATGCATATTAAAACTGAGATTAGGCCTATCTTCAAAATTATTACAAAATTGTACTAATGTTTAATGTTATCTCATGTATTTAAGAATGTAACAGTCCTCAATATTTTTAATAACTCTTCCATATACTGTTGTGTTTGTTGTATGTGTTGTTGTCATTGTTGTCACACTTAAACTCTCTCTACACTATCAAATTTTTTGATATAATTGTGTAATGTTCCCATATATGGGAATGCTGGTGTCATAATACACTCAGAACATATGTTGCTTGGGATTTTCTTGAGGTACTGTAATACAGAACCAACCCCCAAAATTACTTGACTGATGACAATGATGTAGACTTGGCTTGCACTTCACAACCGAAATGAAAGGCAAACGTGTGCCAGTGTTATCTTCACAGTTGTTATTGTAACTATATTCAATTTTATTATGATAATGAAGTCAATCAATCAATCAGTCAATACTAATTATTATACCTATGGTTAATGGTATCATATCTATTTCAATAATTATCCCATTATTATTTATTATAATTATCAATCCTCACAGTCTTGACATGGGCATTTTAGATATCAATGTAAAAACTGTTTTCATGGTACCTGACGTCCAAAGACTTTTGCTCCATCATGAAGAAACACTCGGACAACATCAGAGGCTGGGTTGGATGAGGATCCATCTTTACCATCATAGTAAGTCACAGACACAGATTTTACCTTAAATGATAAAAAAAAACACCATACCACTTAAAAAAACTTAATATAAACATTTTTTTTTAAACCCATGGCTAGGTATAGTCTCTGGGGTAAAATCAAGAAAACACTCAATATCATAAACAAAAATATTAATTTCTGGTTTTAAAACTAATCTGGCAAAGTGCCCGGAAAAACACTCCTACTGCGGATGACTGAGAAATAAAATGTAGTGCAGGTGATGCTTTTAACTAAAGGAACTGGCTTCCTCTTGTGTTAATAATAATAATAATAATAATAATGCAATGAAACATATAAAGCGCCTATTATTGTTAAAAATAACTTGCCACTGGCGCTAGGAGAAAAACTGAAAAACAGCAGCAGAAGAATCCCATGAACTGATTAGTGAAAATTACAAAAAATGGTGTTGTGACTATGAATGGTACATGTTTAGATGCATCTGTCTGGCAATTATCAAAGATATTTCCAGTTATATTTTACGACTTTTAGATCTTTTTATAATACTTAATAATATTTTGACAGTATACCATGCACTGCATCAGGTTATGGTCGCTGACCTACATTTACCATCAAATTACCTTTATCCACTAAATGTTTTGTTTGCCTTTGCCTTGCCCCCCCCCCCCACCATCTTAATCAACCCTGGTGCTGCCACTTCTTGTTGAGATGAGTTCATACTCTGTTGAGCTATGCTGGTTTAGTTTTAAGAAGTCAACGATACGATTTTCATGTATAGTGGTGAAAGGACTGGTAGGAACTGGGCCGTGGCGTGAACGCACCTTTCTTGACCCCGACATACGATTCAATGCTGAGCAAAATAGTTTTTGAATCCTAGTGTAAAAGTCTTTTGCTTGTCTGTACAAAAACCTTAAATAGGAATTTACTTTTTGATCATTTTAAAAAACATTACTCAATTACACATTGAAGACATATCAAACATGCTTCACAATGAACTTTATTTTCCTATTTAAAGGAGTATATTGGTTATTAATTTAATGAAGTGGGAATTAATAAAGTCATGTGATGCAGATTGTAAACCAACAGCAGGAAATGAGCAACACAAATTGTTTGTTTTCAACTAACTCAATATTCATGGAATAACTACACAACTTACTAGTTGGCTAGCTGAAAACATGTTTTATCATTTGGTTAATTAAACATTATTGTATGTCTAGAAAAGGTCAAACTTCTAGGCGAAAGGAAAATTAAAGTAAGGCTAGTTTGATTAATGTATTTTTAAAATACTTGAGGCCAAAGAGTTCTAAGAAGATATGAAATGAGAGTTGGTTTCCATAGCAACGATATGCATAGGACAAAAGACGGGGAATGAAACGCAAGTTAATCTTGATATTTCAAAACTCTATCTCCTACTGCGGATGACTGAGAAATAAAATGTAGTGCAGGTGATGCTTTTAACTAAAGGAACTGGCTTCCTCTTGTGTTAATAATAATAATAATAATAATAATGCAATGAAACATATAAAGCGCCTATTATTGTTAAAAATAACTTGCCACTGGCGCTAGGAGAAAAACTGAAAAACAGCAGCAGAAGAATCCCATGAACTGATTAGTGAAAATTACAAAAAATGGTGTTGTGACTATGAATGGTACATGTTTAGATGCATCTGTCTGGCAATTATCAAAGATATTTCCAGTTATATTTTACGACTTTTAGATCCTTTTATAATACTTATAGCTGGTGAGCTATGCTGGTTTAGTTTTAAGAAGTCAACGATACGATTTTCATGTATAGTGGTGAAAGGACTGGTAGGAACTGGGCCGTGGCGTGAACGCACCTTTCTTGACCCCGACATACGATTCAATGCTGAGCAAAATAGTTTTTGAATCCTAGTGTAAAAGTCTTTTGCTTGTCTGTACAAAAACCTTAAATAGGAATTTACTTTTTGATTATTTTGAAAACATTACTCAATTACACATTGAAGACATATCAAACATGCTTCACGATGAACTTTATTTTCCTATTTAAAGGAGTATATTGGTTATTAATTTAATGAAGTGGGAATTAATAAAGTCATGTGATGCAGATTGTAAACCAACAGCAGGAAATGAGCCACACAATTTGTTTGTTTTCAACTAACTCAATATTCATGGAATAACTACACAACTTACTAGTTGGCTAGCTGAAAACATGTTTTATCATTTGGTTAATTAAACATTATTGTATGTCTAGAAAAGGTCAAACTTCTAGGCGAAAGGAAAATTAAAGTAAGGCTAGTTTGATTAATGTATTTTTAAAATACTTGAGGCCAAAGAGTTCTAAGAAGATATGAAATGAAAGTTGATTTCCATAGCAACGATATGCATAGGACAAAAGACGGGGAATGAAACGCAAGTTAATCTTGATATTTCAAAACTCTATTAGTATATGGGCTGTTTGAATTTATGAAGGTAAAAGGAAGGTCCACGCCAAACAACAAAACTGCAGTATGGGATATATATCGTTCTGACCAGGGTTCTATCAAAATGAATCCAGACTAGTCTCAGTTACTGTAATTCTAGGTCAATCTTTAACCTCTGCCCACACCATCAAATTTTATGTGACAAATTTATGTGATGTGCCATATGGGCATGATGATGTCATATTACACCCAAATATGGGCATAATTTATTTGGTCACATAAAATTTGATAGTGTGGACAAGAGCTATACTTGGGTGCAATGTTCCAGAGGTTTCAATCCCTAAACTAATTTTAAATATCAAGCGTGCTACTGTTACTGACGCAACCCTAAAAGGTAGCCCAAGCAAACGATCATAATCAATACAATTTATTTTTAGAGAAACCAATCCACTGGACAAGTAAATGTAATAAAGGAGTCGTTGACAGACAGAGAAGGCAGCAATTCATCATCAGTAGCTCATGACAATGCACCACTGATTACTAATAAGAACTCGTCAGTGCAGCAAATTAAACAGACATTCATAACATGAATGTCTGTTGCTGTGAAAACCATCTGTGAGTGACATAGCTCTGTCCACACTATCAAATTTGTGTGATGTGCCCATATATGGGCATAAAGATATCATATTACACTCAAATACAGGTATATCACATTTATTTGTCACTATCACAAACCTCTCCTTTAGCTAGCATTTCATTGAGAAACGTCTGCCAGGAAATGTTCTGGGCTTCTTCGCCTTTTGATAGCAAATTCAGAAGAGTGAGGATGACAAGTAGGGCGATGACGGTCCGCACATTATCTCCCTCCGAGCCATGGGGAGACGATTCTGAAACAAAAACAAAAATATAACTGAATTGATTAACAAAATCCCCACAGGGACTGAGGTTCCTATGTTAGTATGCTGTTAGATAAAGGAACCAAAAATCGGAGATAGGATATGTATTAAATACACAGTTCATTAAAAAAAAACAGGTATCTGTTTTGAACAGATTTATTTATTATTTAAATTTTTTTTTTCATTCAATTTGTGTAATTAAAACAATATATTGGTAAATACTGAGCATTCTAGTATTTCTACAACTATGTAAATATTTTTTCAGCATAGAACTTCCCACTTTCAGGACAGAAATGTGTTTTCAACTTTTTGTACCAATTTAATTAAATTTGTTAGTTTGCCAAATTGAGAGCTAAAAGGATTTGTAATGAGAAATCTGGCCTGGTTTCAATATTAAGAGGAAACTTGTTTGTTCTGACCACTTATTTTAAGTGATATTACTATTTACAAACTTCCTAGTCTGAAGTACTAGAAAATGGATGAAGGAGGTTGCTATGGTATCAGTGTTAAGATATTATTAAAGAGTACAGAACTGCAAGAGGTATCTCAAAATGCACTACCATGAACTAGAGGGCATCCTTGAAAAGAACATAAAAGTATGTTTCAAACACTATTCAATTTCTAATAGGCACCCCCTAGCTTATGGTAGTACTGTACTTTGTTTTTTCAAGACAGTCAGGCCTCTTGTAATTCTGTACTCTGGTTGGTGTTCAGTAAAAGAAAATTCTAACAAAAAAAATGGCACATTTGTTTGAATGATGTCATCTGCAAAGTGTACTTTTACACCCTTGAACTTGCTCCATGTTTCATGTTTTCCTCTATCATAAAATCTTGTTTCTAAGGAGAATATAAATTTATTTCTCTTGCTCCAATGAGCCTATGATTTTCTATGTTACCTTGGGTGGCATTTTGATTCAAAAATACAAAGGAAAAATCTTTCTCTTGTAATTCTGTACTCTGGTTGGTGTTCAGTAAAAGAAAATTCTAACAAAAAAAGTGTCACATTTGTTTGAATGATGTCATCTGCAAAGTGTACTTTTACACCCTTGAACTTGCTCCATGTTTCATGTTTTCCTCTATCATAAAATCTTGTTTCTAAGGAGAATATAAATTTATTTCTCTTGCTCCAATGAGCCTATGATTTTCTATGTTACCTTGGGTGGCATTTTGTCTTACTTGATGCAAATGCTCTTTACAAAAAAGTGTAAATAAGATGGATGAAGGAGGTTGCTTCGGTTTGAATCTTAAGCGTTAATTAAATTATGTTTGCATCAGCCATTGTTTCTTTCTGTTTGCTAAATTTAGAATACCAAGACGTTTGACATTTGCCATCATAATACTGTAGCAACAGTGGCATCGGATTGAGATTGCACCTAACCTGGACAGGTGGTTGTAAGTGCTTTATTTGTTGTTGACATTGTTAGTCATGGGATGTAATATTGACTGAAAATATTTTGAAAAGAAAAGTAACTGACTCATTTTTCACACTCAGAAATCCATATTTGAATCCAAATATATGAAACTTTGAATATAATAAATGTTATCAAAATTCTGATATTTGTTTTGTTTTCAAGGTTAGATGTAATATTTCATATGCGAGAATAATGGACCACTCATGAATGTCAATCAAATTTAACAACTGAACAATCGAAATAGGGTCAGAAATATGCGCTTTCCAAATCCCAAAAACATGTTGTTTCACAAATGCAAGTGTTTACGTATGTGCCTTCTATTTGTGGGACCTTAGCAATCAATATCCAAGTTACGATTACTATAGCTCATGTAGTAAAATGTCTATAGTAAATCAGAAAAAGAACTGAATTGTTTCAATTTATGTCTACTTGATAACTGAGTGTTGATAACTGTTATGATCATAAATGAGCACTCAAATTGTTTAAATTTTGAGTAAATTCTGAATACAGTATTTGGAATGTTAAGAATTTTTTTTTGCATGAGCCATTTTCTTTTAGTTGATGCAGTTAAAATTTGCTTTCTCTCATAGACTCATAATATTATACAACTTAAATTATAGAAATTAGATTGTTCAATATAAATTTAACTTTTAAAATGAAAACAATCTGCATATCATGTTATATAATATTTTTTAAATCAATTAAAAATATCAGTAAACTTATTGATATAAATAAGCAATATATTATTTTACAAAGCAAATAAAAAGGTTGATAGCATTATTTGGAGGTTCATTTGCATTCTGAAACAATAGTCTTTGTCTTAGATTATTATGGTCTTTGTTATTAGTCACTAAATGTTATGCTTATTAATATTAATGTCTAACTTGAAGAAACATTCACCATCTGTGTCTTAAATAGAAAGAGTTCACCTTTTAGTTTACAAGTGTTTCAAACTTTTTAATAATTTTATTACATAAAAGATTATTCATTCCACTTTCAAAAATACAAAGGAAAAATCTTTCTCTTTGGACAAAACAATAAAAATGATTGTGAAATATTATACAATTTGCATTTGCATATCTTCTTTCCACTAACAGACATTTTTCTTCAGGATGTACACAGGGGCGGATCCAGATATTTTCAAACGGGGGAGGGGGGGAGACAACATGTTCATAATAGATAAGAGAGTAGTGCTTATTTCAATACATAACATTTTAAAAATTTAATGGCAAAACGGGCAGATACGCAAAATTTAATGATTTTTAAGTTGTAAGTTAAATTATTTCTAAGTTAATAAATATTTTGGTTTTCCGGCAATATTAAAATTATGATACTCAGATTTTAATCTGAGCACCAGTCATTGTTCCACAACTACCATTTAGTATACTGTATTCCTTAAAAACAACATAGTCCTTTCATTTAGTTTTTTAGATATTGGAAATATTGCACACAACAGATGGTAGCATTGAATTCAGTTAAAATAATTTGAACACAAAAGGTTTAATAGCTGATCATAAAAGAATATTTTGACCCAAATATTTGCAATATGAGGGACAATGCACTTCAATAAACCTTTTAATAACATCACTTATCTGAATACCTATCAGTGCATTTTGAATGAATGCATCTGATTGGTCAATTTAAATATTCAATTCCAGCTGAAGTAAATGTAGGTTTCAATGGATCACTTTAAAATTTAAGAGAAATATAATTTATGGTTGTTTTTATTTTTTGGTTTTTTGGGGTTTATTTTTTTTTTTGATAACAGTATTTTTAGAAAATGATGATGGAGGAAATATAGGTCAGGTCAGATCCAACAGATACTATTATTTGATTCACTAAAAGCATTTTAAAAATATAGCAAGGTTTTCATTTTAACAGCATGGGGTGAGTGATTGTTAACCATAAACCCAGAATTAGGTGTTGACACAATTTAGTAAGAAAAGAAAACCGACCAACTCTGATTTTCAATTGTCACTGTCTTTGGGCAACACAATATTTTTTTTACTTATCTGACAAAGGAAAACACTACCTAAATATAAAGAACTTGAAGATTCATAACTGTACATGAAAAAAATATGGAGAAATGAAATCAAGACCATACAATATATGCCTTCTTAAGTAATAACTTTTATATTGATTGAAAGCGTTAAAAAACAAATTCCATGTGAAATGAGTTTTACACGTTGACAATGAGTCTTGCATATTAGATAAGAAACTTTTCTTACTTCAATTTACATCTGATACTTACCTTCTTCTTCACCGTGTCTTTGGTTTTCTCTGGGGTTATTTTGGTCGTTGAACCGAGAACTTGTGTGCAGAAAATGCACATTTCCTACAAATAAAACAAAGGTCAATGACCATAATACTGAGTTCAAGATCTTTTTACATAATTCATTGTGAGTTGAATGACATCATAACATGCATATAACCTTTGGTATCCATATTTCTCCATTAGTTTCATATTAATATGAATACAACTGTCTGTCTATGTTGATTCCTTGTCTCTCATTCAACAAAATACAGCTTCTAAGAAAAGCAAATATATTATGGACAGTACACCCAAAACAAGAAATATGATATTCATTTGAGAACACAATATTTTAATCAATCTATTAATATTTTAAACTCTATACAAGCAAGTTTTAATTTTATGCAAGACAAATTTGTGTGAATTAGCCCCAACCATATGGGCATGAAGATATTCTATCACATCCATATATGGGCTTCATGACGTCAATCAATCAATCATTTATATAGAGCCAATATCCATAGCGCAAGATAAATGTTCAGTGGCGCTCAGAAAAAAATGATGATGTACATTACTTATTTTTTCAATTAATTTCTTGTATTCCTTATAGCTATCAGCCAAATGCATGTAAATGAATTTGTAATTCATTGAGTTTTAAAGCCAGGCTCCGAAGGAAAAATTTGTTTTTATATGTCGTTGCAACTAAGACACACAAAAAAAATGTATTGTCCCATGCTAAATACAAAAAAATTTTATAAATATTTTTTGAAATTAACTTGCCCATTTTGAAGTGACATAAAAGTTATCAACTTGAACATAGAAATTAGTGTATTTTAAAAATGTCTACCCATCAGTTTACAGCGAAAAATGATAGAAACACTTCCAGTCACTGGAAGTGTTTTATTATTTTTATTATAATGTTTTGGTTTAAAAATCAGGTACACATTTTTTTTAAATTCAATAACTTTTATACACAAGTTTTTTCGAAATTATTTTTTATGATTTTTTGACATTAGAAAGGGACAATACATCTTTAATGAAATACAGATTTTTGAATATTTAAAAACTAGGCAGGGGGGGGGGAGGTGAAATAAAGGGTGGTTACACACTTTTTTACTCCCGTTTTTAAATATTCCAAAATGTTTTATCTCATTAACCGATTTCCGATTTTTATCTCAAAATCTAGCCGTCATGTATGCTTGCATTTTAAAAATTTAAAATAAAAACAATAAATTTCAAAAGAAAACACTATTTGAACTATTTTTCTGACAAAGATTTCTAAATTCTTCTTTTTACTGACTTTATATATTTATTAATTACTGTATCTACACTGTTGAAATTTATTTAATTAGTATACTATTAAGTTTATGATAGGCCTATTTCTGCTATTTATTGTATTGTATTTAAATGCCTTTTATGTTTATATTTATTAATGGGGCAGCTGACTCTCAATGAGTTATAGTAAAATGTTGCTTAAGCTGCCCCTGACCATAATTTTTGTTGTACTGTACCTTTTGTAAATGTGTATTGGTCGAATAAATAAATGAAATGAAATGAAATATCTATCAAATTTTGGTCCTTAAACTTTTTGTCGTGAGTTTTCAATTTTTTTAAAGAAATATGAAATGGCAACTTTGCAAAAACATTTTTTTTTTCACAGACCACGCAAATAAATGAACCAGCCTGTCAAAATGTTAACAATTACTGTACTAGTGAAATTAGAGAGAATTCGAAAGTATTTCAAACTAGGTGGGCGAAAACAATAACAAGAAAGATTGATTTCTCATTAAAAGAAGTGTTTAATGAGCAGTTTGATGGAGCAATGAACAACACAGAGAAGCCACGCATTTATCAAACTTAGGCAGTTTAGGCATACATAGTATCGCCTTCTGAAAATTTACATGTACGTAAGCCTTATACACATTGTGATGTACATTGATGCATTTTTCGATATGCATCGAAAATAACAAATAGCGAAAAAAAAAAAAAAATTTTTTTGAAAACCAATAACAGGAAATCAGGATTTTTTCTCACGCACCCTCTACTGCCAAATTCTGCATCCGCCCCAGGTACACATTGAAAAATGTATTGAAATTTACTTTATTTGAATGTTAACAATAAAGAATACTGTACTTAACTATTACCTTGACCTACATGTACATTGCAGGATGATGGTGACAATAGATTTGACTTCTGCAAAATGTGCAATAAAGCTCTTACTTCTCTTCTCAGCTGATTTGAAAGGTTCTGTAAAATCATAAATTATTCAAATGCTTTTTACTTGTGTAAAGTAGTTGTGTGAAAACACGAAATTTTATTGTTTTGTATTACCATGCATGTAATATAAATGGTTATATTGGAGAATTGCATTACACTGTAATAGTAATATTTAATGCGTTGAAAGGGGTGGGGAACAAGAATGATAAACATATCTCTCCATTTTTTTTAATACTGCTGTACTTCGTATTTGTCATTCCATGGCTGGAATATTCGATTGAGAATTGACAAATTCACTGCTGAGAGATCTAGTTGTATTTTACAGTATTTTTTTTAATTGTATTTTTTCCCCAAGTAAAACCAATAACTGAATATATTTTTCACAAATATGGATTATGACAATAAAGTCTTGTTTGTAAAATCCCTGAAATGTTAAAAACCTTACAAAATCCCGTACCATCAGATATTTCAAATTGGTCAAATGATTGATTGATAATGTAGATTTCTAGCCTACATCATTAAAGTGTAAATCTTCTGAGAAACCTTTTTTATATGACAAGATCTTTAATGTAAAATAGATCTGAAACTGCGACCTGGACCTATTGTGTCTTTATTTTAAATAATACTGGTATCACCGTTTAGAATTATGCTTATAAAAGAAATCATAGAATCCTATATAACTATATATTAAAATTTATAATCAAATGGATTGATAAATTCAACTTTAACATTTTGACTTTCTTTGCATCAAATGGATAAGAGTGCAATAAAAAATAAGTTAACAAATAAGTGTGTTTGGCTCAGCCTAAATAAAATGAAAAACTGAAACAACAGAAGAATTCAAGCAAAGTACACAAGTATTTAGAAAGACAGGTGAAGAAGACATACAAGGAAATGCAACTTGAGAGCAAATACCAACGTCACACAGGACAGCAGCAGTAGTAGCTGACCAACAAATTTAAGCTGAGGACAGTTATACGAGTCTGAGTTGGGAGTGTTATAATTGAATTTAATAGCAAATAAAGTAAAAAAGTATTTAAACAGGGCAGGAATTTACATACAATACAAGGAAACCCTGAAAGCACCGATGATTCTGAAATTAAACTAAAAACAGAATTTAAATTGAGGCAGGCAATTTTTTTTTCCATATATATGTTGTTGAATAAATTCATCTGGTCCCATAATTAATTTTGGGTATGCTCTTTTTAAATGTTTCTCTGAGATACATTGCTTTATTAAATGCTTGTGTCAAAAATCTATCCTCGTCTAAGGGCACATAGAAAAAATTATTAGATTATCACTCTTTAAAAAAAAAATTTATGAGGGAGGGTGGTTTTTTTTTTTTTTTTTTTTATCGGATCAGTATATTATTTCGCTTTTGTTGAGGGAGGGACTGTTTATATTTGGTCTGTAATAGTAAATATTGTATAAAAACTGGTTTAATTTTATAGTTTTTAAACAAAATGAATTTGATGTCACAAAATTGCATTGTTATTTTTATGCTATTGAAATAATTAATGCGGCAAAAAGAAAATTTAAAAAAAAATTCCCACATCAATATTTCCCAAATTTTTGATGCGGGCGGGAGTGATAATCTAATGAATTTTTCTATTTGCCTTAAGTCTGATGATACTATTTGCTTGTTTTTAAGTATTGTATGGTATGGGGAAATACTGATTTAATATAATAAAATATAGTTGAAGGTGGTGAGACTTTATTGATCTATTAAACAATATTTTATTATTATTTTAAAAAGAACACAGATGGCAGGGAGAGCCTGCCACGTGTATGGAACACATTTTATATTGTAATGTATATTTTCAGTAAATTTGATTATATGAATGAATAATTTATATCCTAATAGTTGATAATTAAAATATAATCCGTACGTAGTGTTTTTACAGAGTCCGTCGTGTGGTCGGTCGCTTGCCTTTTTTATCGTTGTTTTGCTCAGCGGTGTATTTTTCTAGCTCAGGTTTGACATGATTGGGGCTAGCCTAGTAGGCCTAGCCTAGACAGGAAAATAAAGTTGCAGAAATTTATTTGAAACTGCTTATAGCGACAGCAATATATCATACCGTTATATAGATACATTTTTATGATTATTGTAGAGCTAAAATATGGTTTAAGATAAGTTACAGACCATATTTTTCTTGCCATACATTTTTAACACAAAATAAAAATTTTAAAATTTGGAGTGTCTCTAGGCTATACTAGCCTAGGCCTATAGTGCCAGTCAACAGAGTAGTAACTATGTGAGTATGCCTATCAATCTGTACCTAAACCTACTTACCACAATCTACGCTAATGCTAGGTACAAATTTTCTTTCGCCAAAGTGGCGAAAGGTTTGTAATTTTTTTCGCCAAATTGAAAATGTTTTAGCCAAATTTAAAAACCAATAAAATTTCACAAAAATGGTTCCGTAAATGAATTTTTCTTACATATTTATGTCTTATTCATTTGTAAGCAGTTGTAAAGGTGGTAATAACAGCATTGATTGAACATAAAAAACAAAAAAAATGATCGTTTACGATATGTGGGACCGGCGAGTACCGGACCTGCTCTAGACCTAGTGCTAAGCCTAGGCCCTAATTCAATTGGAACCCTAATTAATTCCGTAGGAGCTATTTTCACTTTTTGATGCATTACAAGCGACTGCTATTTCAAGTACTATACCGTACAGTACAGTAGTCCCTACCTGTTGTTTTGCTCTACAGCATAACAAATGTAATTATCAATAAAATTGATGCTTTTATAATTGTTTTGACATGCATTTTCGCTGTAGTTTTTTCACATTTTCGACATCACGATGACGTTTTTTGAGGGTCAGAGACTGCGCCTCTATAACCCTACCAGCCAATTGGTTTATTTGTTTTTTCGGGGGTGCAGTGGTATTGTGCAAACACTTGCTTTGATTGGAATGACGTCAGATCGCCCAAAGTTTCATAGTGCATGACAGGAACAAGCTCAGTGTAAGACAATGAAGATTTATTTAAAACAAATAAAGAAAAACTAATGGTTTTATTTTAGAGATAAATATAAATACATTTAACAAGCTTAACTTCCATTCTCTTCAAATTTTCTCCATAATTAAAATAGCAACATGACTGAGGCTATGTATTTTTGTAATCTACACTGACGAATATAACGACGTCCGAATCCGAATTAAACGTCGGGCTACTGAAAGGAATCACCCGCAGAAACATGCTTTGAGTTTTGTCTAGTGGAACTTAGAAGATTTAACTTTCATTTTATTTAACATTTACTGGCGTGTCATTTTAATCAATTTATTATAATCTCCATGAGATTTCGTTTTCACGGCATCTGGTAGGCCTATGCATTATTGTTTTGTTATTTTTTACTACAAAAGTGATCATCTGGTTTTAGAAGTTTATCTTTGTGTTTGGACCGAAAAATTATGAGATTCGGATTTTCGGAAATATATATTATTTTAAGTAGTATAATAAATATGTTTCAAAGAACAAAATCGCTGAAGAAATATCGTTTTAGTGTTCTCTATAGAGCGTGGGAACGATACTTTCAGCGTGTCATATGCGGGCAGTGATCAGACTGTTTGCTTCAAAACTGCCCGTGCATGCCCAGAACGATTTATCTATCTGGGATTTTCCACATTCGCTGTTGGTGAATGACTAGTATGAGCATAGACAGTAGGCCTATATTCTTTACCAGTAGTGTATTGTGTCATTAAGAAATTCTTAATTTGAAGATATAACTTTGTGAAAATTTTCAATATAGCCTAGGCCTAGACCTATCATGTAATTTATTAACTTTAAAACCTGTTATATTTTAACCTTTTGTTTAATGATGTTGATAATGTTGCTAAAAAAGTAAAACAAAAACAAACATAAAAAAAAATATATACAGAAACTTAACTAAAATAAAAAAGAACCAATGAATTAAAAGAAGTAAAAAGAATTAAAAAGAAGGCAAGAGAACAGAGGGTGGTCAGAAAGATATAATAAGTTTTCTGTTTTGATCAAAGTTTTGAAATTTTTAAGTTGGAGATCATTTATTAAAAATACATTTATTAACCACGACGTTAACGACCACATTCTTTTTATTCACTAACTTGGGCATGGGGTTGAAGACAGAATGGATTTAATGCTGGCCTATACATAGTATATTTCAGGTATTGACCGGATTTGAGTTACTAATTCAATGTTTTTATGTGATAATGGATATTAATTTAGAAAATGGATACAAATTTTAGAATGACTTAGTTCACTTAACCTTGATGAATGTATTTCGGTGCTGTTAAACAATACAAAATAAAACTGATGTTAATGTAATAGTAAGTTTACAAAAATATTTTTCTACACTTCATTACATTGTTTCCGTTCTCTTATTTTACCATCTTATCACTCATCTTAAATTCAAAAGTGCAATTCATTCATTGTGTAGAGTTCATTATTAAGTTTCTACCACCATTTTCACTACATTAATCCCAAACAAAATACCCTCCGTAAAGTAAATGAAACCCAGTGTCATTGAACGGCCATGGTGAGGACTGAATTGTGAAGGCATAATGCAAAACAAAAACATGAGCTTATCCCGTCATGCAGTTGATTGGAGCTGCTCGCGTTTGTTATTAGTCCATTGCTTTGAAACACTCCACGCCTGTTTATACAGCATGAAATAACATCAAAATGTATAGTGGCAGAAATTGTGATAATTGCCCTTCTAAATTTTCATATTTAGTATCAAACTCTCTATTCTGTAAAGCATATACAGTGTTATATGCTGTTTTTTAATGTAATGTGGCTGGATTTATATAGCGCTTTATGCCGAAGTCTCAAAAAGCTTGAGGTGTGGACTAGCTGGCATAGTAACTTCCTTCTCCCCTAAGGGGGTCTCTTCTTGTTTGAGCTACCCGGAAAACCGGTACCAGCTATCTCTCGTCTGTCCAGAACAGACAAGAGATATTTACTATTTATTTATAAGAATGAGGGACAGTTATTAAGCTACTAATTTATAATTTTGTTATTTTATTACACCTTTCATGTGAATAGCAAGTAGATACAGACAATTTCATGATTTATTGATGCTTTATTAACTGAATTGGTGTTTACATTTGACCAAGATGTAACTTTTCCTTGGTCAAATTACACTGCACTATGTAATTTAAATTTTAAATATGCATTAGTTTTAAAAAGCTGTGTTCACACTAGATGAATTTTGTTCTTGACTAACCATATAAACGGTCACATGACCAAAAACAATCCAGTGCAAATTACCTACATAACATTCTACTTGGTCAGGTTACCTAAGGCTTGTGGCAAGTTTAACCGAGTGAACCTTGTTCAGGGAGATAACCAGTAGGCCTAATGCAAACAGCACGACTTGGTTAAATCTTTCTGAATGCATGCTAATGCCACAGGTTTGTAGGTGTAGAAAACTAAGGGTGGATGGTAGAAATTTTAAGGGTAGGTGGGTGATAACATTGGTGAATTCTATATAGTAAGAGTGGATTTTACGGATGGACAAGGAGGTTAATAAAAGTGGGTGGAGGGTCATGAAATTAGCTTTAGACTGGTTAGAAAACTTCAAGACTGTTGTGGCCCCACCCACCATAACTAGAGTACATCACTACTAATACCATACTAATACTAATACTAAAATTATGTCAATGATTACACAATCTGAATCTATTACATAATAAAATTAGACTCGTTTATTTTTTTTTCTCTCTATAAAACCTTAAACTGTGTGAAAACAATATATATATTATGTTATTTTAGTAGTGGAATCAGTATTGGTTGTAACATACATGTTTGGGGTTTTTATAAACTACATCTACACTGTAAATTTTGGTTACCTCAGTAGTAGGTCCTATGTCATACCATGCAGTAGCCGAATGTTTTCATCCAAAATTTAATTAAAAATTGGATAGATGTTTTCAAGGTTATTTATTACCAGGTAGCTTTAGAATATAGCTTGCTGATCTGATTATTTGTAGATAATTAAAACTCCATTATTCTATCTTAATCATATCAGAGTTTTATCGTTTTAATTCTAGTTCCTTGATCAATGTTAATTGTTATTGCTAATGATCAGTTGCTATTTGTCATTTCAAATTAGTAATTAGAAAACATTGGTAATTAATTTGAAATTTTTACCAGTTTCGTAATTCGTGAAGGAATTTTTGCTTTATCTAAATTCATAGTATGTTGAACTAGAAATTTCAATATAGAAGATAGTTTTAAATTAACTTAAATTTTAATAACATTTTTTTCCCAATGCTTATTCTTTATTTTATTATTCCATAGTTTTTCAGGTGTGAAGCATTTTAAAATTAAAGATGGCCCTGATAAATTATTTGTTATCCTACTGATTCTAGTAATCAATGGATTGCCTTACTTGCATTGTATTTTTCATCCAGTGTACAAGAAGCATTCAAGATTCTGTCTAATGCATATTTCTCAAATTTTTTTGTTGTTTTAAAGTAACTTGACACTAAAATAGTATTAGTTTAAATCGATTGTAATATAAAATATAACTGAAACATCCAATTGCATTTCATATTTAATACTGCCCTCAATATCCGCTTGAAAGCTCATAGTGCAGGTAATATATAGTTAATTTAAATGTTTGCGGAGTTGCCTAAAACAGCTCTACGCTGAAGGACGCTACCATGTCCGCCAGTGAACCCGATACATAATGTGCAAGTATGAATTTACTTAATTCTATTATCCCAATGAATTGAACAGTAGGTACCATACACATATTGAATATGTTTCTACTAAGTGTTAAATACTAACATAGCTTCTCAAACATAAACATGTGATTCACATTGATAGGGTTTAGTTGAGTTTTTTCCCACCGATATACCAGCAAAGTACTGTTTACATAACTTGCAAGTAATTTGGTTCAACAAATCTATTGTTTCCAAAGGTATGTGATCAATGTATGCCATCAATAAGAATTGTCAGGATGGTGTTGATTATAATGATTTTTAGTGTACAACTTGTGAAGTGATAGGTCAGTATCCATTCTTCATGTAAACATTTTTTTGTAAAGAATCAAAATTACTAATACTAAAGTTACTAATTTTATTTTTATTCATTGTGTATTATGCAATGCCTTGAGAATAGTAAGTCCTAATTGGAAAATTTGGAGGTGTTGGCCACAACCTCAGTTGAAGTATCCAAATGGTAGTGTAAGTGGAAGGTCTTGGGTTCAAATCCCGATAGGGACATGCGTTTCTCTTCAAAAAATTACTATCACTTAATTTAACATTTCCACAGTGAGGGTACTGAATTCATTGTTGCAGATTATTTTTATGTTGTCGATGTATTTGAATCTCATTAAGATAGATTGCAATTGAACAATATTTTTCTAACGTAGGCCAATTTCTTATTTAAATGTAATTACCGGTAGGAATAGATATTGCAAAGTGTAAAGTTGGTCTTCAGTTAGCAATGCTACTGGGCAAAATACTTGCAAATTATAATTTACAAGATGGTGGCTGTTTTACCTTTGTCAGGTACAGTATTTTGCAAATAGTTGTCGTCTTACCACTTGTCGGCGCGTATTTACCTGGTTTGCAAATGGCATATTGACCTGATTCGCAGTCCATACACAGGGATTTAGGTGAAGGTACAAACTTTTCTTTTATTGTTATAACTCTTTAAGTCAGCCCCGGAGAAAAACAATTTTTTGCTATGTTGTAGAACTGATTTTGCTAAGACAGAAAAAGGTATTTAAGGTTGAAAAGGGCGTAACTACCCTTTTTTTTTTACCATCCCCCTCCCCCCCATAAATTATATATTCTAAAATCTGTATCTCATTAACTGTTCCTCAATTTTATCAAACAAATTTTTTTCTGTCTTAAAAGAAAGTTCTACAACATAGCAAATTTTTTTTTTTCCTCCAAAGCCTTTTTTTTTTCCTCCGAAGCCTGATGTTAAGCTCTGCCTATCAAGTTTTTTGTAAAATAATATGTGTTGTGTCCATATGAGCATGATGATATTATATGAGCTTACAATCAGAATTCATATCTTTGCCTATATTTGGACAAGTCACATGTTTTTGACACATAATAAAGCCAGGGACGTAGTTATGGTGGGCAGTGGTAGACAGGGCCACCTAGCCTTGAAGTTTTCCACCCAGTCTAAAGCTAATTCCTAAAGCACCCATCCTTATTAACGCAATTTACCATTCCTAAAATCCATGCATATTATTTAGAGTTTTACCTATGTTATCACCTACCTACCCACCCTTAAACTGTATATCACACACCCTCTCACCCTTCCACCATTAAGTGACCATCACCCACCCTTAGTTTTCTAAAGCTACAACCCTTTAAAGCTTTAGTGTGGACAAATATTTATGGTAAGCCAACAGGTACATAGAAATATCCACCTTCTGCAGGAATTAAAAAAAAAAAATATTTATGAATAATAATTTTTTGAGAAGAATGTCACCTGAATGATTGATTCGAATTGCTATTTTCAGTTTGGTTATAATGACTCTCAAACAATGATATATGTTTATAGTGACACCTGAAATTAGTTGATTTGTGAATACTAAGGAAGTTTTATTTGCTGAATAGGTGAGTTTGTTTATTTGATTAATCTTGTAATAAACATCGTTAACAGATTGCTATGTTTGGAAGATTGCTTCTGAAAATTGAATTGCCTAATTTTTATTGGAAAATATCCATAATTGTTCATTTACTTTTTTAACGGAAACTATTTAGCAATGGTGGAAAAGACTATTTATGTCATTGACAGGTGGTTTCACTTTAAAATTATATTCAGGAAATAGTTTTGTATGAACTGTCTTTACTTTGTAAATTCCCATGGTATTTGCAGTGTGAAAGTATCATTAACGATCCACATTTGTCACTAAATCGCATTATTAATACAGTATTTGCTATCTTTTTCAGTTAACACATGATAAATGTTTATTATAGTCTGAATGCCTGTGTCTGTACTATATTAATGAATAGTTGTAGGAATTATGTTGGGTGATGTAGATGAGATTTATACTTCTAGGTGAAGAAAGTCAAACGTAGATAAAGTGTCTCGCCAAAGGATAGCAACGATGTGACCAGCTTCACATTCAAACTCACGACCTTTCGATTAAAGCCCGAAGCTTTACCGTCACAGTATCCTATTTGCACTGTAAACTAAATTATTGAATGGATATTGCTTAAACTAGAAGACCTAACTGTAAAAACATAGTCTGGTTAGCAAATTCTTGTAATATTCAAGATTGAAGAAGATATTGTGTTGAGTTGATATTGTTTACAATTTTTTTATGATATAAATGTTGAACCACAAAATAGAAATAAACGTATGTTGAACGTTTCTTTGACAATTTGCCAACTTCTGATCAACATAACTTTAGAAGCACATGAATGTATTTAGCACATATTAATAGGCCTATTTTGAACTTAGGTGGGGTTTTTTCCAGTTTTTTCATAGTATTCCTTTAATATTAATGGTGATTAATACTGTTTTGATGGTATTACTAGAAGTAATATGACCTGTAGCAGGTAAAACTTATCTATAATTGACATCATCAAAGAGAGACAGAAGAAGAGTAAGGTAACAGTGTAAGACAGTTAGAATTAGATCAAAATTAATTGATAGTCAAGAAAAAAGTGTCAAAGCTGAAAGAATTGGATCATACTTTTTTGATGCATAAGCAGCTTATATTCACTGTAGTGAAGGCTTAGAGTATTCAGTATATAATTACTCCATGCATGTATTTTGTTTGCTTGCATCTTCTAATAAATCATCTTGCAGTATAGTCATTAAAGTAGATCAGGCTGGCACAGTGCTTAAATGATATTAATAGTTGCTTGGAGCTCCTGCAATTTGAATCTCGCTTCCATGTCAATATTTGCAGTTGTCAGCTCATGCAACTCAAGATGAATGCACATGCTTTTACAGTGTTTACTTCTGGTTTCATGTCATGGCTTCAATTTCTTTTTCCATCTACCTAGTACCAGCCGTATGCTCAGTGATTGAATAGTATTTGACATACTCAGGTTTAACATAGATACAAGTTTTTAGAAATGAAGTGTATTTTTTATTCATTAACTGAAATAATTACAATATTAGCTACAAGTTGGTTGCATCACAAAATAATGGTCAGAAGATATCAGATTAGAACATTATAACCTTACTTCTTACATCAGACTAATATAGGCCGCCTAGAAAAATATTGTATCTTACTAGGATGGAAGGTAGTGTATATTAACAGAAAGAGGTTTTTAGGATTTGTATTCAGTGTTCTCCTGAAGCCGTTTTAGCCGTCAATTGTACCGGTGAATATATCTGGCCAACCATTAAAAATTTTGAGATTGTAAAATAATAAAGCTACTGATTATTCTTAGGTAGTCTAGGCTGGCCTTCTTTCAATAAATGAACATCATTCCAGTCTATGCCTAGGCTATGGCTATATGTGTTGTTTTTTCAAGTCATTAAACCCCACTTAAAATTTAGAGAACATTGTGTATTAATGATTTCATACACTAAATTCATTAGAACAATATTGTTATTGCAAGAGTTTTGAGAGCCCTTCTTGGCCCATCACTTGGGTTTAGCTTATAGCAAGACCCACCACAGCAGTGCTGTCTAGGTGTTGGCCATAGTATTATTAGACAAATTTTCTGTTGCTTCGCAGCTAAAAAGTACTGTAACCTGTTGATATTGGCGTCGCCTTAATCCCAAAGAAAGGATTTGACTATGATAGAACAGAAATGAATGAGAAATAAGTGAGAGCAGGCATTAAAATGGAGTGTTAAAGTGACACCATTGGCTGTTTGCAACCTTTGTAGTTATTAATTGGATCGCTAAACAGCCTCCCGATGATGCAAACCACCAAGTCACGTTAATATCATGTACTCTCAATTAAGCACTGCGACGTTTATTCAAAATAAAAAGATTTTCTGAAATGTTGGAGCACGTATTCGAGAGAGGCGCTTATTTTCACTTTTGATAAAACTTAGAAACTGTATTGTGCAATAGAACTTTATTACGTACGTACCATCATATATTAATTTAATATATTCTAGATATTAAATGACACATACTGATTGTTGAATGTGTTTCTACATAAGGTAGTAAAGCAAGTTACACAATACTGTACATAAGTAATTTATAGGTTTACGAATATTAATAAAATGAATCGAAAGAATTTTAAGTGGAAGGTTTCAACGATAATTTTGGATTCAGAAATTCAGTGTAATATTGGATTTAACTTAGAATTGTTGTAGTCAATAAAGTGCTAGTTATTATAAAAGTTAGTGCATGGATTTTGTAATTAAGCTTATTATTATTTCATCCTCATAATAACATTCCTACCAGCCACTGTGCCTAATCATAGATTCTAGATTATGGCCTAATAATACCAACAATGGATTAGTGGTTAGAACCCTAGGCATCATGGGAAATTAATTTGAATATTGAAAAAGATTTATTGCGATAATAATAAAAATAATATTGCCAGTATCCATCAAAGATGCTCATGGTGCAAACAGATGTAGGTTTGTTTAAAAACTAATTCTTATTTTTAGTCTACAGGTATCACCAATGTTTCTGTGAATAAATATAGCATTAATTATGTCTTTGGCCACATCTAAATGTTTATTAAAAGTTGCTTATTCATAATGGAAATATTAGATATTGACCATATTTGGCAATAATTTTGTTTTACATCTCCTTAGTTTTTTCTTTTTTTTTTCATAAAATTAAAAAAAAAGGTTTTTGAGTTTTTTTTCACTGATGTTCTAGCTTATCTTATTACTTTTGATTTGCATATTCTCATATTTCGTAAATAAAAAACAGTATTTAGTCTTATTTAAGTAAGACCAAATTGAAATGATTCTTATCTCCTAGGATTTCATTCATTTTGTGGGTTTCATTTGCTTTATTCTCAGGAGGCAAAACAAACAGTTTCACTTTCCACATTTGTGATGCATTCATTGGTGATCAGAAGTCTCAAATATATAGGCCTAGATGCAACTCTGTTGTGGTCACATTTGTGAAGGGAAAAAGAGAGAGGGTGCACTCAATCTTGGTGTACTGCAAGTTCAACATGAATTTGTAATACCATGAAAGTGATAAAAATTCAATTACAAATAAATTGAGATGGAAACAATTAAAAATTATTTATTATGTTGGTTAAATACAGACTAGATTAAAAAAATTAGTATTATAGTACAAATTATTGATCACTTACAACTAGTCCAAGACAAATTACAAAAAGCCAATCTGGTAAAACAAATATATCATCAGAGAATGTTGATCATTTTCTAATAAGTCTTGATAAACATAAACATAATACATGGTAGGCCCTAATCAGTTCATTACAACTAGCTTCAATCTTAATAAATTTATGCTTATTGCCTAATAATCTTCATATATGTTGTAATGAATTAATTAAATAAGGATAATTGTTGATGTAATTCATAATTAAATTTTATTTAAAATGAAGTTGTTTAGTATTGTTTACTGTGTAGTTATATTATTCAAAAGATGATAAACTAAGGAGATGCTTTATGATGATTATAAATACTTTATCAACTTGTAAAATTATTACAATAATGATGAAAACATTATTTAATAATTAGATGTTAAATAACTATATTTTTAATTTATTGGAATTAAATGAAACCTTGATGAGATGGTCCCTTATGACATTAGTTAATGTTTTTACCTTTGGAACAAATTACTCATTCAGTATTATTTTAGGGATAAACTTAGAAGTTTCTCAACATATTTTTATTTTGGTTTTGGTGAAAATTTATTAAATTAAAGAAATAGTTATTATAAATATATAATTTCCTATTTTTATAAAGAATGTACATAGATTCAACAATTTGATTTCATTAGTTATTTGTAGTTTGCTTAATTGTTAAATTATGTGATAAATAGTTTGATTATTGTTCTAAGTTAAATGCAGCTAAATTTCAGGCTAATGTAACTTTTGAAATTTATAATCCATACTTCGCCAAGTACTGTGATTAGTTATGAACATAGTCACATCAATAAATTTTGATTTTGCCAAACATGTACGCTGGACTAAATACTGAATACATACATAGTACAAAATGTAACAAATTTATATATTTAGGTAAAAGATATTAACAGCAAGAATCTTAGTAGACGCTAGCTGCCGGAAGAAATAAAATTAAGCAGCCTAAACCACTGTCGTCAAATAGGTGTGCACCTCAATCTAATGAATCCCGAGATATTTTAACTGAGATTCATTATCGTGCATGCTTTTCATTCAAAAGTCTCGTTAGAAAAGCATGATTGAGCAAATAACCAACCCTAAGACAGGCGTAGTGAAACCCGACTGTATATATTGTCGGGAGTGTTACCGTTTCTGGTCATGTATGTCGTAGGTTTACTATACGGATTACAATTAAATGTGTGAGAGTTGGGGCTGGGCCTATTGTTGCAGATGTTTCATGCAATCCAAGCCTGATGCAATCCAACCTGACATCTAATGAATTTGGAAACTCGTTTTTAATTTCACAATTTTTATTTCATAATTTCTTCCATCATTACATTATGGTACCCTTTTCATTCATGAAAATGGCTTATATAAATAGGTTAAATATTCATGTATTTCATCATTTTCAAGACAGTCACAGAACATCTCATTTCTGAGGCACCTTCCATATTTCAAAATTAAACAGCATGCTAATAACAACACACAAAAAAAGCTATTCATGAAAATGGCTTATAAATTGGTTAAATATTCATGTATTTCATTATTTTCAAGACAGTCACATAACATATCTTTTCTGAGACACCTTTCCTTATTTTAAAATTAAACAGCATTGTAATAACAGACACAAAAAAAGCCCCAGAAAAACATATAAAATACATACTGCTACAGTATACTGTAGTAAATTTTTAAAATGTAATTATATAATAATGTTTTAGTTACTGACCGTTAATGTTGTTATCACAAGCAATATCACAAATTTTATGATAATTAAACTAATAGTTTCTTTTTAGTGCAGCAATATTAGGGCATACATTATAATAGATTTTCATTTGAAATTTTAAAGGTTATGCGATACAATCAAGTGTACCGCAATATTTGTGGACAGGTGTTGGAAATAATTGATGGAAGACCCTAACTACAAGCTGCTATTTCCTGTCAACAGGCACTATTCGTTGCAGTCGATATATAATCACAATCTATAGATTCTTGGGGAAAACCAGAACAATAATTATCTGAAATGTACTATAATTTTGAGCTAATAAATTTGAATAGCGAAATTGGTATAAAAAAAAAATTGGGTATTAGAAAAATAAGAATATTGTTTTGCTTTGCAGAGACCCTTAAATTGTCTGGCATTCAAGTAAAAACTGAAGAAAGTAGTTTGGATAAATATGTTTCATTTGTAGTTGCTCAACTGTCATTTCCTTCTTGGTACTGTACATCCACTCATGAAGGAATAAATCTAAACTTATTTCTCAATAATCCACCCCAGTTTTAACTGCAAATAAGTTCTTTTATCCTTTCTTTCCTTCTGTCAAAGTGTATATCTGTTGCTCGTTTCTTCCTCCTTCATCTTCTTCCTTTCATTCTTTGATATATACCCCAGTTTGTCACTCAAATTTGTAACCACACATTCTTATGGATTTAATGTGTTGGAATATTTAAACTATACATCCCTTTTTTTCTTTCATTTCATTTTATCCAAGTGTCTATAGCCTCAACTCGTTTTTCCATGTCCTACTTTTTAGAGTCGGGAGGTATACCAAACAGTTGCGCTTGTTTGCCGTGCTATATACTATGCATAATTTAGTTCCACTTAGGAACAAGTTGGACAGATATTCTAGCAATGTTCAGTGCTTATACCATCCTTACAATTAATTATTCATCCATAAAGAATTTAATCTTTATTTGAGGATAGCATAGTTTATCATGTCTTGTTTATTAGATAAGTTGTTAAAACTTATCTACAACATTTTAATTTAAAGTATTGTAATTAGATTTTATGGGATGTTCAGTTAATATTTAATAACTGATTATGCATTAACTTTTAATATGTAAATTTCGTAAATTGCGGTATATGTTTCATGTTTGGAGCTAGAAAGTTGATCACACACATTTCTGTTTCAATGCCAAATTTGTAAAAGAAATGATTGCTTGTCTCTTTGCCTTGTATGCTCTTTTTCAAAGCACACATAATGCAATGAATATCACACAGTCCTTAAAGTAAATACTGTAACCTAATAATATGTTTGTTAGATAACCTAATGAGAACAATGAACGTATAATAATAATTACAATACAATATGTTTTTGTTTTTATCTTTACCAGGACTCTAATGTGAATGTTTTAGTCTGGACAATTTCAGTGTTAATGAGGTAAGCATCAATCCTCAATTATTTTACTTTAATGTAAAAAGGACAAATCCAGGGATTAAAGAGCAGAAAAATGTCTGACCGTCTCATCAAAGAGTATAAAATTGTAAGGGGTCCGATTTCTTACAGTATTTTGCATACACGCAATGAAACAAAAAGTGCAGTACTACCGCAAGAGGGGGCACCTTATTAGAATTTGAATAGAGTTTGAAACTCAAACATGCATTCTATGGATGTAGCAAAAGAGGATTCCGTTTAAGGAAACCCCAACATTCGGACCTCATGTCATTTTATACTCTTTGGTGTCATCCTTTTTGGAATATATCCTTGATAAAATTTATGACTTTGGTTGATGATGATTGATGCGGATATATTGATGTACGTTCACAGAGGCTTTAGTATTGCAATTGGTTGTTATAATTTGCTGTACATTTCCTACAATTAAACTCTAGTCTGGATAGAGCAATAGTCAGATGCATTATTAGTAGATAATAGGGCAGGATGTACTATTGAGTGGTTGGTAAAATGACCTTGTATTGTTATCTTTTATATAATCTAATAGATTACATCTCTTTTTATCTATATACAATGGTGCTATTATTATTTATCTGTAGATGTCTCTGTCAAGTTCAAACTTTTTTCAAAGTGAAAAAAAAGGTTGTATCTCTCAAATAGATTATAAATATGTCATTACTGTTGTAGACGTGAATGTAAACAGCATTTATTGTTGTATATGAGAACAACGATAGACAGCGACGCCAATTTGATTAGCTTGCAAGCTCCTCATATCCAAGGGGATACAGTACTTTCATGAGTGCAGATAACATGTTTTGCACTGTAAAGAAGAGTGGTACCACCCGTCCAAAGTACAATTGAAAGTTCAAGTATAGTATTATAACTGGCTGTTAAATTTACTGCAGTATTTCTTTATACAATGATAATCTTATTCATAACATTCATTATTGTAACACTATACCTTGTTCACATGGACACTTTCGAATAGCAACAACTATTATTTAACAAGTTATCAGGTTTGTGCCATGTGAATGCAAATTCACACTGAAACAGATGCATAGTATATATTATAATTTATAGTATAAATTTTGTATAATGGTGTTAATATTATCACAAAGATCCCTGTGATATCTCAAAAGAAAAATAAGCATGTCTACTGCTTGTCTTGTTTTTTTTTTTTTTGCTACTTTAAACTCATCCAACATTTTTTGGGCTTCCCTACCAGGACCAATTTCAAAAGATTTTAGTTATTCTGGTCAGAGGTATCGGACTCCCTCGTTGGGCAAATCCTAGAGCCACCCCTCATAATTGGTATGACCAGCCTACTAGTCTGCGGAGCCTAGCCCAGGAAAAAAAGTACTATCACTCCAACCTAAGTCATTGGAGTGATGGTTTAAGTTCTTGCCTGCTTCTAAACTAATCAAATGCTTAGATCTATATATGAGGTATATAGTACCTCTTAAATGTTGGGAAAATACTTTCATTTGGTTTTCAATGTGAAAACCAGTATGCTTTGATGGGTTTACCATACGTTTTGTTATGTTAATAGTTACTATTTTTGTTCAATGTTAAATATAAATATTCTACAATTTATTGCCATTGCTAATTATATTCTTTCTCTGAAGTTTATTTTAGTAATTAAATTTAATATATACATTGTAAATATGTTTTGCCATAGTGCTTCTCATGGGAGCTTTGCTGGTGGTATGGCTGCATTAATAATTTTCCAAATAATCAATGCTGTCAATAGTAATATCATAGCTGAGCTTATCACATGACTTTAGTAAGCTGGTACAAGCAAATACGTATACAGCATGTGATTAAACTATAACATAGCAGAGCACACCTTATTACAATATTGGCTTATCCACAGTTTTGTTTTTTGAATGGCTACCTGCGGTCCATAATAAGAGAGCTAACTGTTCATGAATAGGACCCTTATGAACAGAAGTCAACATAGTTTAGTTTGTAAATTTGTGGTTAAAATGTGGTTAAGGAAATTCCCCTTCTGAAAATGATGTAAAAACATCCCATAGGAAACTTCATGTTATGTCTCTGCATGATAATGTTGCAAAATCTAATGAATGAAACAGGAGCTGGTAGGCATAAACAACATGTGTCATAAATCTGAGCACAGTTATTAGAGTAGCTTTTTTATGGCATTCCAAATAAGTCTGCTATATTTTGATATCAAACAAATCCATATTTAGGCGTATATTTTGTAATGATCTCTTGATATAAGGTTTCAACTGTTTAATAATTCATTAATTTCCACCCACACATTTATATGACTTTAATCAACCAAAACCAAATATTAATGGATATAGTTTCAATTAGTTGCTTCCATTTTCATCCTTGAGAAATGGTTAAATTTTAATTTCCTTCCGTTTTTTTTACATCTGTTGGAGGCTTTGCTTTTTTGTTTTGTATGCGGGACAATGTTCTTAAAAAATAACTAAATACAAGTCCAATACAATAGACTATAAGTATTAATATTTAGTCTAGACATTGAATGATTTATAAATTAATGTTAATTAGAGTTAATTATTAATGTAATCAAATTTTCCATAATTTCTTTTATTGTCACTTGGAAATTCAGTTTCAAGAAAACGGCAATTTACTAAAACTGTAAAGCTAATCACATAAAATTATTTTCATTCCATAGATTATGATGGCCAGATACATGTTCAGAATATGTAATAATGAAAATCCGATGAGAATGCAGCTTTAGGCCCTATTTAGTGTTCGTACAGAATTGTTCAAAAAGAAAATATCTGTTTACTAAAGCTAAGATCCATTTGACTGGTTGCAGCTCCGGTTGCATTTGTGTTTACAGTGCATTTTAAGTGATTTTTTCACATGCATTTTTAAAGGCCCTTTTGCATGGATTCACCACACCGCATGGTGGACTGAAATAAAAACGGATGAATCGCTCCATGTAATGATTGAAATAAGCGCTTACGGTTATAGAGATACAATACAACCGCAATCGCACTAATGGAATCACTCTCTTTTAAAACAGTATGCCGATTAAAATGTACTGCACGACAAACGGATCCGCAATCGCAACCGGACAAATAGATTCCCAGCTTAAGACTAAGGAATAAAAGAGCTCTGCTTCATCATGTGTGCACGGTAGTCTTCTGCCTGAAGACAACATTAAAACTACATTTATCCTATAATTAGTCCTGTAAACTAGATCTTAGATTTTAGAATTCAAGACCAATGAACGTTTTAAACTGGATCTTATGAATCTTTAAGCAAGATTTGATTGTAATGTATAGTATCCAAGACCATGTACTTGCAATATGAATAATATTAGTACATATTATTCACCTAAATCTTGTTACTTTATGTTGTGAATAACAAGATAACTGATACCATTGACCTCATAGCTAATTTATTAGCAACTAAACAATAATTGGATGCTGGAATATAGGGAAAATCTGTTTTGCTAAAAATTATCATCTGTTTCTCCATGTTAATAATAATGTTATGTAGACCCTAATTTTGTACAGTAATTATGTTCTTCCATTTCTAATAATAACCCATTCATTATCTCCAGTAAAGAGATCATAAGATAATGTCAAGTTCAAAACAAATAGATAAATGTGTTTAGTTAGTTCACAAGCCTGGTTGATGTCGAAGTTAAGTCACTTATCTAAATCTTGAAATATGATACGATTTATCCCTAGTTGTGTTCGATGCCAAGTTAGAGCCAGATAAACAGCCAGCCAGCTTTGAGGCCGTCGACGTCACACGGTGGAAAGGCTTGTTTAATAACGTCTACTGTATTTTACGAACCTCTAGTACAAAGGGGTATTGGTAAAAAAAAATTGACAAATTCGTAAACTACTGTAGATCAGGTGTCAGTTTCCACTACATAGCCTAGCTATTCTCTGTCATTGATATAGGCGACCAGGTTAGGTAGTAGCTACTAGGCCCTAGCTAAATTTACCTTCGATAAAATCCAAATTATTTTCGCTAGCATTCTCCCATTTAACAAAATATTGTTTTATTTCTCATTAAAATGTCGTATACTTTATGAAGCTTTCTTCCGTGTTTTTGTTAACGATCGGCGTTGGTGGTAGTTCGTCGAAACTCAATTAATAGCGACTATTATAGCAGAAATTGAAAAGATTGAATTGTCAATAAATAAATACAACAAATCTGATTTTATTATTAAGAAAAATATACATTATCACTATGAAAAACTATGCAATCGGACTTCTTAACGTTATTACTTGGTTAATGATGCAAAGGTCATTGGTAATATCGTCTATTCGTAAAACGGATGTTTGCTGGGTTTTTACCCATAATATTACAAATAATTTCTGAAAACCAGACTAATGAGACTACTTTGCTGCTGCTGTTAGCATGTTGGAGAACGTTGAATGGTAATGGTGGTACAATACAACAACGCTGGCTTAGATGCCTACGTTACGTAATCGTGTCCTTGTAATCCGTGCCGACTTTACCGTTTAGCAAGTTAATTTACCGTTATTCTAGTGAAGTTACTTAAGAATTTATCTAGCTATAATTGACTGGTTCACGTCGAACTTCTATCTAGTTAAGTGGATCTATATCTAGATAAAAGTTCGACATGAACCAGGCTACAGTGACCAATATAATGAAATCTATTTTTTGCTTGCTTTGATAAGCTACTTAAAAATAATCTACTTTTCCTAATCCTATACTTTATTGCATGTATGCCTACATTTTTACTGACCAATCTTTATTTTGGCCTAGTATTGAGTCAAGTCAACTGCTCTAATGTTGAAATACTAGATTAGTAAAGAGTAGATTTCTGTAGATATTTTCTTTCACAAAATTGTTGTTTTATTCAAATTGTACAGATGAATACACAGAGTCAAAGATATTGTTTTTAGAGCCTTTTTTGTTTCAAGATTTTAGATTACCTTTCACGAAGGGTTGAATATAAGCAGTTTTTAAAAAATAATTTTTCTTTCTAGGTTCATTAAATAATT